GCAAGGAGGCAGATGGAACTTTGTGATACCATGAAGACCTCTGCTAACGCAGCAGGGGAAGTACGTGTGTGCAAGCAGCAGTAAGACTTAGCACTTACTCATGAGGTTCACTTTGTGCCATATACATACCGAGAAATTAGGCTTTGTAAATGAGTAAGGTAATTGCTAGTAAGTGCTAATCACACTTAGCAGCAGTAACTTACCCAAGACTGCACAGAAGGTGAATCTGGGTTTTCCACCAATTCCTCTTTGGTCTGACTTTTAGAGAACAACAGGTATAACTGTTTTCCACTGATAATATACAGCCAAAAGGCAAAAATCTGTTGCAAGTCTCGAATCTAGTAAACAAACATTTCCATCTCGGTCCTTCAGCTGAAAAAGTAATTTGTATGATATATGAAAATGTGTTGTCTGTTTTTCATGCAAAAGATGTATTTTTTTTATGTCGCTATAAACACAGTCAAAACCACCCTTTGAAATAGTTCTCCTTCAAAAATATCCTTGAGGAAAGGGTAGAAACTTGTGGTTTATTTTTCCCATTGCTTCAAAATGACCTTCTTACATCTGCAGGAAAGACTCTCTGGGGGCTGTTGAGCCATGAAAGCATATTCATTTAGGGCATTGGGTGCCACAGTGATTTTAATAGAGTGTTGGATGCAGTGCTGGAAAAAGAAAAAAGAGGGAGTTTGTGTTTTGTTGTTTTGCTTTTTGCAACCTGGCATGAAGAATGAGGTCAGGAGATGCGTGCTTGGGAAAGACCCAAAGAGAGAGCTGGAAACATGCCAGCCACACTGAGTCATAACACACATGCTTATAAGTATCTTTGTACCTTACAAAGTCCTGACTTTTCAAATAAAACCATCACTGCTGTAAAAGTATTTACATAAAAATTAAAGCAAATAGCATGGAGTGCTGCATGCATTCTCCCTTGTTCCAGCTTTGTTTTATCCTGTGAACTGTGACTCCTGTTTGCTTAAGGCAAGGCTGGGCCAGGCTGAAGAATGCTGTATCTGCAATGAATGAAGGGAGAAGCTCGAGTTGTGCTGCCATTGCTGCCCAAAGAGCTCAGCAGCTCTCATGATTTCAGGCTGACATTTCACCTGCCCAGCAGGTGGTGTTAACTCTGCCCCATCTCTTCTGCTTTTCAAAAATTAGGATTTGAGTATAATTTTGGAAATAGGAAGGCTGTGTGCAGGCCACATGTGCACACCAGACAGCTGGACTGCAGGGAACAAGCACCTAAGCTGTAGGTGAATGGTGAAAGGTACAGGTGGTGCACATTTTGATTTCTTTGTTATATTCTTGTATGTATATTCTCTCTTATATACACATTCTATATCAATGTATATTATATATGTCATTATTGTTATTTATCAATTAAACATGCATTATGGGTACTGAAGTTCAGACATAAATGTGCAATGTATGGTTCCCTGAAATGGCATAACCAAGAAGGAGGCATGATATTTTTTAATTTAAAGGAAATTATGGGGTTGTATTTCTTTATTCTGTCTCATAGTTTCCTTGGTTGTTTGCATCTGTTAGTTTTATTCTGAGTTTATAAGATAATCTTCTTGTCATATTGGGAGGCAGAAATAATTTCAGCTAACCTGCGCAGTGGAGATTGTGGGCTTGTGGTGATGAACTTACAGTTTAAGATGTTATTTAGTCCTTTTTTGGGTCTGAGTCAATAATGGACAATCCATTAGTTCCCCATAAGTCGTTTCAATGGCTAATTACTTGCACAGTTGCAGAAATTGTTCTTTAATTCTGTCTTACATTTTTCTGAATCAAGTTCCAGCTGTTGGATGTTATTATACCCCTCTCTGCCAGCCTTGAGAGCCATCTATTAACAAATCTCTACTCCCTGTGGAAATATTTAAAAGCAGCAATTGAGTCAGTCCCTTTGAGCTTGGCTTGGGGGTGGGGGTGACGGGGTGGTGTTGAGAAGTTGCATAGATTAAATTCCTCAAGGCTTTCACTTGACCATATTTCTAAGCGGTTGTGTGTGTGTTTTGCTAAAGTGAGATAACTCTTGCAGTTGGTGGTGGTGTGAGTGCAGTGCAGGCACACGAGCACACAACAGCTCTCCCTGCACTGGGGTGGCGAGGCAGAGGCGATCTGACCCATGTAATTATGGTTAAATGTGTCGGGAGCGGGAGCTGCGGCTCAGCTGGGCTCTGAGTCAGCTGCTCTCCAGCGTGCGACTGCTTTTGTGCCATAGGCTCCAGGGAAGATGAGCTTGGAGATTGTGAAACCTCTTTATCGCTCCTGCAGTGTGGAGTCATGTGAATACAGGTGTTGGCCGCGGCTTAGCCCCTTATTTTGCTGACCTCGGATAGCACACGGTGTAGGAGATCTTGAAGACTTTTTTTCAAGCTGGGTGCTGTGTGCAGGGGAAGCCCACAGCACAGCAGTGCAGGCAGGACAGCAGCTGCAGCCTGGACGCAGCTGGGCTGGTGGAGGCTCTAGTGTGAAGAGACTCTCCGTGTGCATTTCTGGAGGCAGACTGCTGTTTCACAGGGCAGACGAAGATAATACTCCCGGAGTTTTACAGCTCCAGGAATTGAGTGTGGTGTGAAGTTGCTTCAGGGGGTGCTGAGGTCTTTGTTCCCACCTTCTGGGACCTGTCTCTTTGCCGGTGGCACTGATGCCCAGGCAGCCCCCAGGCTGCTGGGACCATGTCCTGCATGTTGCTGGGGCCTCCAGCCGACACCAGGGAAACACCTTAGCTGCTGGAAAATTTGCCATCAGGCGGATGCACGACATGCTTTTGCATCCAGCATATTTCCTGGGGAGATGGAGATTACTTCATGATCTTCACAGGATGGTGGCCTAGATCAGAGGCCACTGGTGTGTGGTGGGGAGCGCCTTCCCTTCCCCAGGAGGGACTGTGGGAACCTCCTGCCCTTCCACAGGAGGGACTGTAGCCAGCTGGTGCCAGGGCACAGGTCCTGTGGTCAGCACATGCTGATTTATAGATCAGTCCTATCAGCAGGTTTTACCCTGTCACTACTGAAGCAGCAAAAGCTGCTATGTTCTCATTGCAGTGAGACATTGTGAGAGAGTGGATTTATTTTTTTTTAAATTTTGTTGTTGTTGTTGTTTGTTTTTTTCTTAAATTTTCCTGTGTTTTTGTTGGGATTGAAGGGCCAGTGAGATCAGGAACCGATGGGTGTTTTTGTGCAGCTTCCAGTGAAGGGAGTGAGTGATGCCCACGGGCCTGTCCCCCTAACATGGGCAGGGTGCTTTTATATCTGTTCCTAACTGAGCCTGACTCCCTTAAGGATTTAAGTAGTTCCTGTGTAAACAGAAACACATGATGTCCCATTGGGCCCTCCTTGGTGGGAATGTAAATGAGGGCATCCTTGGGCAAACTTTGTTAAAATTGGGCTGCAGCCCTCGTGTTTAGTGTTGCTTCTGGTTAGGACTGAAGCTGTGTTGGCAGCAAAATGGTAAGCCAGGGCTGTTTGTGTAAACCTTTGTTGACAAAATAACTGGATGTACTGGTCCTTCTAAAATGCTTGCTGAGGGGGTTTTTTGGTCTTTTTTTGGTTGCAGTGGGTGTTGGGTTACAAAGTTCGCTTTCTTGGCCCAGAGCTGACTGTATTCTAAAACTCTCTGGGCATAGCTCAGGCATCTTCAAAGTGTAATAGCTTGTCCCTCGTGTGAAATGCACTTCCTGCTGCCAGAATGCATGCTGCTTTCACTGCAATCATTGTGTTGGGGTTTTTTTTGGGGGGATTTATTTTTTTTTTCTTTGTTTTGTTTTTTAACCCCTGCCAAATAAATAATTTGTCCTAGAATTTTCTGGGGGGGAGGGTGAAGGATAGAAAAGTTTTTGATCACAATTCAGCAGCTCGATGCCAATGTGTCACTAGAGGAGCAAAGAAAAGGCTATCACTGGTCACCCTAAATGATGCTTTTTTTTTTAGAAGTTGGCAGTGTCTGTCTTTTCTTTGGCACGTGGATGGTCTAAGCTCTCCTGCCTCCTGGTGGGGATCTCTGATGGGGCTTGTGGAGTTTCCAGTGTTAGTGACAGTACACTGTGGTACACTTAGCACTTAAGGTCTGAGTAGAAATGTTAATCTTTTGCTTTGGCAATGATGTAGCCCCTGAGGAATTGAAGGGCAAGAATGTTCAAATAGTGATTTCCAAAGACCCCAAGACAGTTATGTGGCTTATGAAAATATGATGACTTACCTATGTCACTTATGTCTTTATATCAATTTGCTTATGTAATTTATTTGAATGCTAAAGGCTTGAGGGAAATACTTTTCCAGGGAGTTAATCTTTAACTTTACTAAAGCAAGTGGTAAATTAGATGTAGACCAGTATTCCTTTTGACAAAGCAGCATTTGTCTCCTAAAAATAAAGGAGAAAGCATATGCCCCATGAGCCAAATTCTACTTGGCTTTATGCTGAAATAAATTCAGAATAACTTCACCACTATCAATATACAACTTCATTTTAACACTGCAGTTAATGCAAATCACTAAACTGGAAAAAAAATATAACCTGAGCGAAGAGGCACAAATGAAGGCCAAAACAGCAACAAGAGAAGTTGGTTCATCAAACTTGCCTCTTCAATTTCTGGAACATTCATTTTAATGTTTTGTTGGGGTTTTTATTCCCCTCCTCTTAATTACCTGGGAGAACACTTCCTGGCTGTGATAAATTTCTCCGTGAGGGATTCATTATAAGGATTTTAACAATTAAGTTTTACCTCCTGCCTAACACCTGGTACATGCCTACTGCTGTTTGCAGAATAAAGGATTAGAGGCACTAATGCTGATTTGATGATAATACTTATTTTTATTCTCTGTTAGAACTGATCAGGTTGCATTTTCTTGCATAGTATTTTTCTTCAGTTTCGGTGTTTTGGTTTTTTTTTTCTTGAATTAAAAATAATCTATGTAGCCATAGGCTTTGGGGGTTTGTTTGGCTTTTGTTTCAGGTGCATGCAACTAATGTCTCTTTTCTGTTTCCACCTCCTTTAGGATGACAGTGATGGGATTCCCTGGTCAGAGGAGAGGGTGGTGCGGAAGGTCCTTTATTTATCACTGAAGGAGTTCAAGAATGCACAGAAGCGGCAGCACAGCGATGGCATTAGTGGGAGCCTCAAGGCAGTGAACGGTGAGACACCTCTGGGGTACTGCTGGAAGAACTCAGTCTTTTTTCCATGCTGTAGCAGGGAGGGAGACCAGTGTACCAGTCTGTGCCCTTTTGATCTGAACAGAGGAACTTGTTTCTGGAGTGCTTGAGATGCCTGGGCTGAAGAATCTGTATGTTTTGGTTTCTGGTTAACTGATTTAGATGGGGATCAGGGTGGAGGGCAGGTGGGAGGACGAGGACAGGCTGCCAATCCAGGGAAAAGGAGCTCTTGTAGTCTGTCTGCTTCCTGATGTGCTTAGTACGTCAGCAGAGAAGGTAACCATTTAGAGGTGGTTGGCTGCAGTTACCTTGGGGAAGTACACCTGGACAGAATTTACATACTGTAATTTAGATGCAAGAAACTGGCTTACTAGCATCTGTGTCTGGAGTGATCCAAGTCCACAGGCAAAGTAGCATAGGATCTCCATACAGAGTTAAAGGGCTGAGAGGACACAAGCGCTGTGACATTGGACTCCCATAGTTTAGTAGTTCACAGGGCAGTTGTTTCAAGGTATTAAAAGGAGATGCAGACAAGCTTGGATGACAGGAGCTGAAAGGAATTGAATTTTATTTCTTTAATGCTCCAGTCAGTTATTATCTGTTGCTTCCCCATTCCCTCAAAGCTTGCTTAAAAAAGCTGGTGTCCTGAGAGGTGAATATAAACTGTGTCTCTTTCAGATTCACTTAGACCCTTACTTGAAAAGGCTTTGTCATGCTGGCTTGAGCCTTGAAAGTGATGACTAGCAGGATTCAGATTTCTGGGCAGGCTTACAGTTTTCACTCACAAGAGCTTATTTGTTTCTTTATGGAGGTTTATGGCAGTTCCCTTTAGTCATGTGCATAACTATACATGTGCTAATGCATTGGAGCAGCAGCTGGGTGCTTGCTTGGTAGGTTATTCATATTTATATGTAGCTTGTCTTGTTGACATGGTGAGTCAGATTCCACTGAGTGTTATTGCCGACAAGGCAAAAAACTAGGGGAATGGCTGGATATAACTACAGGCAGCATGATAAAGTCACTGTATTGAGTAAGAAATTGCAAACTCCTTAATGTGATTAAAGAAGACCTTAGACTTCTGAGTTCAGTAATAATATCAAGTACTGATCTGATGGGAAGGGGCATCTACCTTTAAGAGCAAGGCATTTATAAGCTTGGAGGTGTACACAAAACAGCATTGGCTTTTTTCCCTGCAACACCTCTGCATCATTGATCTTCTGTCAAACACAATTTCTCTTTGAAAGTTTCTTATTCCATTGTGGGGGTTTTGTTTAGTCAAAGGAAAAAAGTCCAAAGGCATGAAGCACAGTAATTGTGTGTTAGGAGGCTTTGATGATGTGCCAGGTTACAGGATGACTGAGGTTTTCATGGTGTCTAGTTTCTCCAAAGACAGCTTAGATAAAAAGTGAGTTGGCTGGGAATGCTATGTCAATGCAGGTACCAGACATGGAGTATGCCATTGGCTTCACCTGGCAGCTGCAGAGCTCACATCTTCAGAGCTTTTTTCCTTCACAGAAATAGATTACCAGTCATTTGAGGGTTGGGGTTTTTTATTTGAGCCAGAATGATATTCCATGTTGCTCTTTCTGTTTGCTAAATTATTTTTTAAAAGTCCTGTCTTGGCCCTGCTCTGTTTCAACATCTCTGTCCAAAAGCTTCTTTTTTTTTTTTTTTTTTGCCATTGATAATTGGAGGAATGTTTCATTATGCAGAGAAAAATAAGCAAAAGGAAAGAGGACTGATATTGTGCAGTGACATCAAGAAGATCAATTTGAATATTGCGTTTAAAAAAAAAAAAAGTAGCCACGTATTTTCAAATCCATGGGTCTCTATGGACTGAGAATAAAACAGGTCATCCTGAGAAATTACTGAGCTATTTTGAATTCAGGGAAATGTGTAGTATTTTAAGGATGAGTCTCAGATCCCAGATTTCATACTGGTGGGAAGAAAATAATGTTTTCTTGTATGTGTCATCTGTACAACTTTCAGGCCACATCCTTTGTTTTTTGCATGTTGCTCCAAAGGGTAGCATGGGGTTAAATATAGTTTTATGTGAGTGATCTATTTTTTTATTCCTTTATTTATGTAACTGTTGAAAATCGAATAGGTCACCTTTCAGCACCTGCCAAATACAACAGTTTTCAAAACTGGAAAGGAAGGGTGTAAGGGGGATTCAGGCTCTCTTAACTCCCAGCTCTGTGCAGGAGTATAGATTGGTATTGGATATTTCTAGTAGCTGAGGGGACTGCAAACAGCTGAGTAGCAGGATTTCATCTTAGTGCCACCATCTGTAATGCAGAGAGACTTTCTGTGGTCCAGTTTTATAACTGCCATTCCTTAAATTTATGGATTTTTAGACTTGCCATTTGTAAATTGTTTTAGTAAAAAGTATTTCTTTGTAGCAACAGAGGAAGGAAAAAAGGTACACCACCTCCTTGTAACATGTGTCTTTAAGAAGTTTTTATGCATTTAGAGCAGATGAAGTTTGATAAACATGCTACAAAAGTTCCTTTGCAGTTAGTGAAACTGCAGCTAAACTTGTATGAAAATGACTGTCAATTGTATTTCATCCGGTGATTTCAGTAGTATTATTAATGATTTGGTAGCTGGAATAATGGTGCCTCTTTGATAGTTTGAAAAGCAAATTAATTTTAAATGTGGAAGATGAACCCATTAATAGAAGTCTTTTCTATATTATAGTTTCTGCAAGCTCTGATGTGCTGGTGGTGGTGCAGAGAAAATTAACTTCTGTGCCTCTCTGAATAATAATAAAAAACCCCATAAAATAAATAAAAATTAAAATTACTTTTGAATTTGTATGTATGATAATGCCTTAGCTGTCTTCTCTGTCTCACTATTAGATCTACTTGTTATCCTGAAAATAACCCTGCCATTTTCAGTTTGTGTCTGAAATCCTATTATTTAAGTGCTTCCAATTAAAGAGAAAGGCAAGTGGGTATATTCTGATTGTCATATCAATGGTTATATTGCATGTGTGTTTATGTTTACTCTGGATATTTGCAGAGTATATAGAACAACACCCTACAGTATGCCTTTGTTTCCTGCATGTTCCTCTTCAGTCCTTGGGAATATAAAATTTGAAGGAGGTGCTTGTGCTGGTTGTCAAGAAACTCTTTGCAGCCCTAAAAGTTATACTGGAGCTCTGATTATGGAAACAAGGTCTTGCGCTGGAAAAACCCAGTGGGACCTCTTTAGTGATTTTGATTACTGCTGCCTGTCATTTGCATTAGGATTTTAAGAACAGGGATTGGTGTTTGGGATAGTGATACCAATTTTCAGAGATGCTTATCTAAAACGAGAACTAAGTCCTTTGGGAAATTGTCTTCTTCTTGTGCAGCTTAAAATGTGAGATAGGGCTATAAAAAAGGCAATGAAAGATGTAATAATGGCTTGCATTCTGTTGATGAGAGTAAATCCAGGACCCTCAAAAGGCTATATCATAAAGCAAACTTTTATGAGCTATGATTTTAAGTTCTGTTTTTCAAAATTCACAGTAAATAAATTTGTGCTGCAGAAGCATGTTTCTTGAATGGAAAAAGTGACAAAGTTTTCTTATTTGTTTAAGATGGTTAGTTAATCTACAGAGATGACAAACCAGACGTTAGAATTATTCAGGCATATAGTTTGTTTTCACCAGCTATACTTTGTCCTAGAAAGGTGTCATGGCAGTTTCCAAACATGTTGTCTAGCTTAATCTCACAGCAAGAATAATCTGTTTGGGAAATCAAACATATGTGAGGGAATGCTTTGGTTCGAGGCAGAAATTGAAGTCTCATTCATTAGGTAAATAAAGAGGTGAATAAAAAAAAAAAAAAGTAATTTTGCTATTCTGAGAGATTTCATTTTACATTTAAGGTTGTTAAAGGAACTTAGGTATTTTAGGTATGTTCTTTAAATGGAGTGGGAACCATGTCAGCATGTGGATGGAGGTGATGGTTGGACCGTAAAGTCTCTGGTGTCCCTTTCTCCCATCTCAGAATCATTTTGGTTGGAGAAGACTTCCAGCCTTTGTTTGATCACTACCTTGTTAACTAGACGGCAGCAGTAAGTACTACATCCAGTTGTGTCCTGAAAACCTCCAGGTATGGGGACTGCACCACTTTGTACTGGTCTGCTTCTGCCCTCAGCCATCCCCACACAAAAGTTCACATGACTTTTGTTGGAGAGCTGTTTTTTCCACAACTGATACGTCTCCACACTGAGAGGCAGGAGGCTCTGAGACAGTTCTTGGTGGGACTGTGATGCCAGACCCAGTGGCAGCACCAGCCTCTGTTTCCTGGATCTGCGCGTTCCTTGGCTTCTGCACTGGTTGTTTGTGCCAGCTGAGGCAGGCAGCAGTGCATTCTGAAAATAGCACTTTTTGTCATTGATGCATGTATTTTCAATTATTTTCTGCTCACTGCATGAGGATTTCTGTGCATGCTCCCCAGTGAGCCATGTTGAAAGGAAGGTGCCCAGTGATAGGGTGGCATGGGACTGTCTTCATCTGACTTCAGCTTCTTGGTGAAACCTCTTTTCCCTTGCCGTGTAGATGGTACTCCAGGCATGGCATGAAAATCACAACAGATGTGGTAGAAATGCCTAAACATTGCTAAGCTGGGTGCTTCAGCTCAGTGCCACATATTATCTGCCAAAAGCTAACTAAGAGGGGATGGCAGCAGCTGCCAGTTGGGGAACCACGTCTTCCCTTAGACCATGTCTCTTCTCTTCTGACTCCTGCAGATGAAAACATGGCAGCCCTTGGGGAAGTGCTGTTGTTTCAGCTGTGCCTCTGTGTGCTCAGAATGGTGTGGGTCTCCTTCCCTGGCTGGGTCGCTACTCAGCCTTCAATTTTGAACAAGAAAGCAGCCCTCTTCATTCACTGTGATGGTTCAGATACACTGATAACTTCATCTCTCTTATTTCTGAAGGCTGCAATTAAGTACTGCAAGAAGGTTTTATGCTAACGTTTGTCTAGGGAG